GGCTTCCTGAGGCTGGGAAGTGGGAGAGGTTTACCAGGGCCACCTGTGGTGGTGGCACTGCTCCAGTTACAGCTCCTCCTAGGGGCACGAGTAGCACTGCTCTGGTGGCTCTTCCTAGGATGGGGGTGTTGCAACTCCTCCCTGAAGGCTGGGGCTTCACTACCCAGACCCCCTGGTTGGCGGTTCCTGGAGGGAGGCTGTCCAGCTCCCTCGGCCAGCCAGCCTTCCTGCTCACTCGGCAGCTGCTTGGTGGGGCTGGGTTGGTCTGCCTGGTCCCCACCCACAGTGGCTCCTCGGAAGGCGGGGGCTGGGCTGCTCAGTCCCCCACCTCCACTCACAGGGAGGGGCTGGGACCAGGTTCCTCCCCTCTGTTGTCTCCTCACATGGGGAGCGGAGCCAGGGACTGTAGTTCCCATCTCCTCCCCTCCCCCCAATCATCTTTTCACAGGGGGTCCAGGCCGTAGTTTCTGAATCCTCCAGCATCTCCTGGGAAGGGGCTGCACTGCCCAGCCCCAGATGTAGTCCTGGGGGGGCTGCAGTGGCAGGGCCAGTGGCAAATGGGGCTCTCCCTTCCATTCAGCACTGGGGCTAAGTGTGAGGTGGGCAGTCACTTACTTGGTCCGACGGCTGGCAAGATGGCAAGCCCCGATCCCAAATGGCCACTGTTTTGCTTGTGTGGCTACTCCCCTGCGATTACTCTGCAGCATAGCTGTCCCTCCAATCAGCCCCCTCCCTTTCCATGTTATGTCACATCCCATTTTCCTGGCACAACCGAACGCTGACCTACCTTTAACTTAGGATAAGAGGAAGTGGCATACCAAATTTAGTGGTTCTATCTCTTACCATTTAGGAGGAGTCCTTAAACAGACTCATGGATGGACGGACTGACAAACAGATGCACATTTCTAAAATATATCGAGATATATATACTGGTGCGCATATGCAAAACATTCTCCAGTAAGTAGCCCTGTTCACACAGGTATTCCTAACAGGGATGTTAAAACCATTAACTGGTTAAACAGTAGCACTTACCTGGTTAACCGTTTAGACACAGTACCTGCCACCCAGCCCAGAACTTGGCACCACCACAGCTGTGAAATCCTGCCACTGGTCCCGCCACAGCTCTGGGGTCCCGCTTTCTACTCTGTTGGCCCTTCTGCGGCTGGGTCTGCTCTGGCCTGAATCAGCTGGTCACTGGAGGAGTTCCCCAGCAAGGGCTGGTTAAATAGTTAACTGGTAAGGGTAAGCATAGTGGTAAGCCTTCATGTTTACCAGTTAACTGTTTAACATCCCTAATTCCCAATGATTGCTCATAAGATGGGCCCTGTGATGAAGCCAATCTTCTTATGTAGTAACATGTTTAATATACCTATAGATTAAATTTATGAGTAAATATCCATCTCCCATCAGGAAGGCAAAATTTCAGTAAAAATGACTATTAATATACTTTATCATTTTACATCCTGTCGTTTTTAAAATATACACACGTTCCCATGATGAAAGCTTGTTAGCATTAAGCAAGACAATTTACTAGCTGTTTGCATCTATAGAATTGTTGGCTAAACATTAGAAATTGCAGGCTAAGATGCCATAGTGCTATTCTGACCATCAGCAGCAAGAGTCTGAGGTTTGCAGCCCCAACGGGGGAGAGGGAGTGTCTTATCTATCTGGAGAGCATGCTGAGATATTGTTCTGCTTTTCCCTTGGCAGCTGGTGCACATTTATTATAGAAAGCGCTGACCAAGGACCAGTCTGATTATTGCCATGTATAATTGTACCCTTACCGCCCCACGCAAAAACCAGATGCTTCCCTGTGAAAATATAGCCCTTGTGCATGTTTGTTAAGGTGTCCTCGCTGCAAGTCAATGCCGAGCATTTCTGATCTCTGGAGGACAGAATAGCAAGCAGAATACTCACCTGCTGGGCCAAAAGAATCATCAACCAGCTCAGAAAAGAAAAGTGTGTAATTGATATACGCCATAATGGGTACTTGACTCGTCAAAAAAAAATCCTGTTTTAAAAAATACAGAAATCTCCTGAACTGGTTATACAATAGAGAATTTCCACCAGTCATGGGCTGATGAAAACTCAGTATAATCCAAGTCTCCAGTGGCTTTGGCATTTTTACCACAATGTTCGTGGTTTAAGGCGCTAAAAATGATGTGAACTGGTGACACTGCTGGTGGGATTGTTTTCCTAAAATGCATGTGGAGTAGACAACATCTAATACAGGCTTTTATCATTTTAAATGTTGTTCCTTATAAAATAAAGCTTTCCATGTAGCAATTAAAACCACTCCACTGAATCATTTAATCCTTATGAAAGTCCTAAGATTATCATCCTACAAAGCATATATTATCTTTTTAAATATCATATGTTCACTGTTCACAAACTTTGATTCTGAGAACCAGGTTCCTCCATTACTGACTGATTTGTGGGTTTCTGTGCTTGTGTGGTGCTATCCTCAACTAAGAATAAAGCACAAGAGAAAGAGACTACATTGCATAGATGATACAACAGGCTTACCTTAACATATGTGGATGAAGCCATCACTTACACCAGATTGCAATCTCTTTTATTCATGATGATGAAAAGTTACTCTCACCAGTACTCATATTTTAGTCAATAGGACTACATGGGTGAGCAAATTTTCCAATATGAGTAAGGGGCATCCAATCTGGTTCTTAGGAATCAACTTAAACAGCATATTTTTCAGATCCCTAGCCCTTCTTTATCATTCAGCTAAACAGAAAAGTGTATAATTTAGAATATACCGACAAGAAACAAAACTGCCTTTCATAAAACCAATGTCAGTTATGTATTTTCTTAAATTCCAAGGAAACAATCATTAAATAAATACTTTCCTGTAGTATTTTCCTTAGTACATTGAAACAAAGGGCTATAAAAATAACCATGAAACTGATTTAAGTGATTTTCACATTTGAAACAGAAAGAAGTAAAAAGTAGTAAATTAACAGCACAAAGAAAATTAGACAGCAAATTGGTGATGAAAATTCTGTAGGTTTGGATACTCTGTGGTGTTATTAGCAGGATTGGTAACAAAATGAAAGATATATGTTGGTAGAATGTTATTTGATTAGTAAAATTTTTGTTTTCAAATACGTTTTCTGGACACCTCTAGTCATTAGTAACACAGGTCAGAAAAATTATTTGTTTAAAATAGATTATTTTAAAGTTGGCATGTTCCCTTAGTCCATGTCACAGACAACAGACACAAAAGATTAATATTTGTGTAACAATGGGAAAATCAGGTGGTTAAGGGTTTTTACCTTGTCTTATTTCTGTGGCTTTTACTCTTTCCAGGACAGCTAAATTCTCCCCTGCAGGATTCTGACTTTTATTACACGCTGACAACACGTCTGACAAATAGCTTCTTGCTGCAGTAGCTGAGGTTGAACCATCTGGTTTTTCTCTTGAGATCCATGTGTTATTCACAATGACATTTTTCTTTCCCTTTCCCTGGAGAACAGCACCTGCATGCTGATTTTCTGCATGGTTGTGGAATGTGTCATCAAATTTAGACAGCTGGCCCCTCCCATTTATGGGATGGAAAGAACTCCTGTCTGAAAGTTGCGGTGAACTGGTCATTTTTGAGAGTACAGGCAGGGAAGCCACATTTTGGACTGGATGAGAGGCAGAGAAATTGCAATGTGCCTTCAGTTTTGAATTGGAAGACGCAAATGAAGGTATCTGAGAAGGACAGAGAAGAGTATTGTAACTTTTGAATATTCACAACTACAAAAAGGCATCAATCAAGATACAGAAAACAGACCACATGATTCTGTGCATGAGTCTGCTATCAGCAATACTTTTCCATTTTATGAGCTGTACAGTATGCCTGTTATGCTTTCATTGGAATTTAACTGTCAAACTCCTGTTACACATACTAAGAACAACCCTGCACTAGTAGGGAGATGGACTAGGTGACCAAAAAGATCTTTGTTTTTTGACATCTCTAAGATCTTTGATGATAATGGTAACATCATTGGTCCTTTATATACATGATTTATTATAGTATAAATTACCAGGAAATAAGGGCTGAGTGGTACAAACATTTGGCTGTCTAAATGGTTCTGTTTGTCAATACATTATCAGAATAACACTTCTGTTACTGTGTTACAGTACATACTCTATAAGAAGCAGTTTCTTGCCTTAAAAAACCACATCATTTGAAGAATGCTTGACTGTTTAAGTGGCTACTTAAACAGAGAAGTGTTTTTAGTGCTTCAAACGTCAAATGTTTCAGTTATGTATTCTCAGGTCTTCAAGAAAATTCAACAATGTAACATTGCAAAATCTGGCATGGATTTTTTATATTCTCTCAGTCTCTCATCTTCTTCATACAACTATAAGATGGTTGTATTGCCTTGAAGTGGGTAAAATCTTCTTCCTGTTTAGTATAGCAGCAGACCATCACAAATGCAATTGCAATTGATCCACTCTGTTCTTAACAGAATTTCTGCAGTTAATGAAAATTACTATGAAGAGCTTCAGGGTACAGGGATAACTGGATCATTAAAAAAGAGGAGAAAAGAAAGGTCAGTAGCTCTGTATTGGTTAGGTATTTCCATGTTCTTTTTGTTACTATCCTGGAATTTCCAAAGCTGATCTTGCTGGAAGCTGCAAAGGTGAAAACAAACCTCAGATTTTTTTTTCATATCCTTTAGGAGCAACCACCAATTCTTAAAAATAGATAAGAAGATTCATAATGAAACACTGTTTGTTTATCTTCCTCAGATTGTCCTTGCCACAAATAAAGAGGTTATTTAAATATTTATATGATCCATGAAGCAATGGCTAAGAATAATTGATCTCATTAAATTAATAATTGTGTAAGTGATTTACTGACCTGGTAATTACTGCAATGGTTTTGTCTAAGCTCTCGATGCAAGGCTATGATCCTCTCTGGGCATGTCAATTTTAATGGAGAAGTACTGTTCTTTTTTTGAGTGGTGTGAGCATAGCTAATGCCATCTGACTTCTGTAAAAGGCTTGTAGGCCCCATCCTGTCATTCGCTTCAGCATGGTAGAGCCCACGATTATTTGGCAGTCCATTGATGTGTGACGTGTCTACAACAGGATGCAGTAACTGCAATCAAGAATGCTGTTATCAGGATTCAGGTTAGACAAAGTTTCTGTTAGCAATGGTTTGGTTTTTAGATCAGCAGAAGTCACTACATTAAACATGTTGCAGGAACATTCATGAAAGCAATTTTGCAGAAACCACATTCACAGAAATCCAGGATAGTATGTTAATTTTATTTTGAACATTTTCAAGTACTCTAGACATCCTTTTGTCAACCCAAAGTGGAAATGTTTTTTAACATAGTGTGTTTTACTCTAGATAGCACCTAAACATTCTCACTCACTGCCCCCACTTTAAATCTCAAAATAAAAAGAACTACGTGAAAATATTAATAGTTCTTCTCCCAAACAAACAAAAATCCCCTGACCTACTTTTGTTCAGAGCTCTTGAATCACCTGATGCTATTTCTCATTCTAGGACCTAATTTGGCCCTACAGTGATGGGGCCAAGTAGTTAATGTCAGCCTTTCCTTTGATTTTCAATGGTCTTTAGTTCAAACTGTAAATTAGCTAGTAGTTATCATTAAATTTATCGACAAGATTAATATAGAAAAGACTTCAGGAAATCATAGCAGGTCTGGCTAGTATTCCCATATATAAGGGATGCAGCATGTACTAATAGATCATAAGGAATGGAGAGATTACAAAAGAGAGTATTAAAATGTTCTGAAGCATGAAGAAATTGGCTTTAAAATGAGTGGATCAGAATTTACTCACTGCAGGAAGCACAGTTTGAGACATCTCTGGTGACACATGAAAGTCAGCGGTAGTGGGACAGGTCCTAGAATGCAATGGCCCACTCAAATGCAAATCACTGTTCTCTCCACTAGGCATAAGAATCGGTGAAGCTATCAGAAAATCACAGCATCAAATCAGCAAAAGCGTTGTAGTTGTGATACACTTAGTTTGCTACACTCTACATTGGGATGGGGAAACCTATTTTGTGTCAGGGGCCACTGACTCACAGAAAAATCAGTCAGAGGGGCCAGACATAAGTGAGAAGCAACCCCCCCCAAAACAAAAAAAACAATCCCCTTAAAAAAAAACACCCAAACCCCAAAGAAACAAACAACAAGTGCAGTTTTGAAAGGGAATCCTCTGAACTGTTATTCATGCTAAAATTCGACATTTTGCACGGGGGTCTCAACAAAGACTCTAGTTATCTTTCCCATTACAAAGATAGCTTCCCCAATTATCACCTCTAATATCATTAGCTCACAGACATTTACCTTCTCCCCCTCTCCCTGCATCCCCCTTCTGTTCTGAAATTTGATTTGTCCTTTTCATAGGTGTTCTTTTTTTTTTTTAATTGTATCCTTTGGTATATATGGTTGTGACTATTTTCTTCCACTATTTGATCTGAGGAAGTGGGTCTGGCCCACGAAAGCTCATCATCTAATAAACCATCTTGTTAGTCTTTAAAGTGCTACATGGTCCTGTATTTTGCTTCAGCTACACCAGACTAACACGGCTACATTTCTATCACTATTCTACATGCGGGAAAATAAATGACGATCAAGACTTTTAGGAAAATACTTTAACAATTGAGCATGGATGCTACTCAAATAAGCTTTTATTTCTCTCAACAAATGTCTTCCTGACTGTACAGTGGAACAAAACCCGTTGCCAGACATCTACAGCACATTATGTATGAGGCCAGAAAATAATTTTCAAACTACCTAAGCTTCAATCAATTTTATAATAAAAATGATACTAACTTCTTCTATCCGCTGTCTTCTCAGACATTACAAATTCCTGGGATCGTCTCTGTAAGAACAGACATTAAAACAATTATTGATCACATTTGCTTATCTGAATGAAATATTACATCTAAAAGGGCAATGGTTTCAGCACTTTTTAAATATCTGTGGCTTTTTGTAAGCCGCTATTTTCAATAATCTTTTTGAAGGTCAAATATAGCATGTCTTGTCTCATGAATTTGTCCTCTTGTATTTATTCCTGCCCTTTCTTCCCCCAGGATTTCTAATAGAATAAAAGTCACTGTTGTCTGCTCCTGCGATGTCATAACTACAGGCCTGATCCTGTGACAAATCAAAAAGGGAGTTGAGGGCATTTCTCTCCTCCCAGGAGTGATCACCATCTCCGAGGCACAGGCTTTAGAGCTGAACTGGCACAAGGCTCCAAGATCCAGACCAATTCTCTTCTCTAAATGCTGAGTGAGTACAGATGAGTTATTTTAGTATGTGGTTTTGGAAAGCCATTTCAAGCCTATTTTCTTCAAATTTGATCCACATGACAGTAGTAGATAAAGCTTTATTTATACAAATATGGACCCACTTCCATTGTTCTGCCCAAGAGACCTCAGAAAAAGTTGTGCTAGCATTTTAGAGGAAGCAGTTTAACTGTTCTCTTCATCATTTAGTCCCTGTCCTACAAATCAAAGTGTTCACACTATTAGAGTTCTGTACCTCATGCTTCCTTTCTTTAAAGCTTCAGGCAAATGTATAAAAACCCATTATGTCCCACAAAAACAAAAAAAACTCTATCCTGTGTTCCCTTCTGGAGCAGCTCTGGAAAGGAAATGTGATTTAGTCCTTTTGTTTCATCACCTCCTTGGATCAGACTTCAGAGATTTGAACACTCTGGCTTCGTACCATGAGTGTCCTTCAGCAAGCTAACCTGAGTTGGGTACCCAAGGGAGACTTACACACCCAAAGAGAGCAATGCATACCCGACTTGCTTAAATTGGAGTGAAGCTCAGTCAGCATTGTAAAAGCAGGAGAGTTTATTAGATGTCTGGCATCCAGAATAGAAAGCCCTTAATTAACACAGAAATCAAAAAGTGAGAGAAAAGACCATCATGGTCAGTCCTGAATCTCTGGCCCCTCTGTAGTCCTTGCCCAGATGTTTTGTGTCCCCTTTAACAGCTCACACTGAACAACCTCAGGGGGCTCTATTTAGTCCTTTGTTCTTGTTCCTGAGAAACAGGGTCACCTGGCCATCCTCCTTAACCCTTTTTTCTCCAGCTGGTCACAGCCAGCTGGCTTCCTGCAGGGAGTGGGCCATTCATGGTCACTAGTTGCTAGGTTCCAAATATCTGGAAAATTGGAATTGCCATTGTCTTTTCTAGGTTTTCTCTGGGCATAGACCCAGGTCCTACATAGCCAGAAATCAATCCCACCAGGATCTCTGCAAAGAGCAAACAACTTTTTCCCTCCCCCTAGTTAGTCATGTAGCTCATGGGGAAACTGAGGCACTCCCAGTAGTTACACACAATATTATGCAAAAATTCCCACTCCAGCACAATTGCCCTTTCTGAAGGAGCTCTTCAAGAGTTTAGGCCTTCTTCAAAAATTCACAATGGGACTGTTTAGAAATAAACTAGAGTTATTTCTCTGCCTGCTTGTTTATATTAGGCACAAATTAATACTCTAAACAACATTCTCCTCTAGCACAGCTTACAGAAGTGATAAAAAACCTCTTTTAAGGACCTTTATTTTTGACCACATTGAAATATATTCTGGGATGAACAATAGTTGAAATTAATTTTACATTTACTTGTGGCTTCTAAGCAAGTAAATTAATGATATTAAACAACACCACACATGGTGCATTGTTTTGAAGTGAGGAAACTTCTCTAATATGACTACATTTAAGCTGCCCATCTTATTGGACTCAGACCAGGATCCTGAAGGTGTTTCTTTCCTTAAGCTGATTATTTCAATTTGTATTTTGGCATTAGTGGAAAGCCTGATATTTAAACAAGGATACTGAAGGTTAACTTAGGAGAAAACAGCCTCATTAGTCAACTTATCTTGCTGTGTCACTGAAAACCCATTTAAATATATAGTGTTGGGCTGCAAAACGAACCAATCCATGAGATTCAGAATTAAGGCTGCTACCCTGTGCTTAATGCATGCTAGATCTTCAAGTGGTGTGAATCAGCATCATGCCACTGAAGTAACTGAAGAATGTCAATTTATACCAGCTGAGGATCTAGCTAGCACTATTAACTCAAAGTCATATTTTCCAGGTTGTTCATTTTGTATCACACAGACATAACATTTCTAACAATTTTTCAAATGTAGTTTAGTTGAGAGGGATTTTATTGCAAAGCAAACATTTTTGTCAGACTTAATAAATGTATTGTTATTCATACTCCATAGATTTCAGTGAGTTTATGATCAGCCCCTATATCTTTGCAAAACCTTGAGTTCCAGCTCCCCAGTGCAGTAAACCAGTGCAGGCCCAATACGCTTCAAAATATCAGATCTTAAATTTATCTCTGGCCGAGAAATAAGTAAAATCAGAAATCTTAGGCAGGGTACTCTGTCTATGTTGGTGTTATCTATAGCTCCCTTTAGACATGTTGAGGATGATTTATGGAGGAAGAAAGAACTGTGTGTGTTAGATTTCTTTTTTGATTGATTGTTTAATGGCAGTTTGAAAGCTGGTCATAGCTTTGGAATGTTAGAAATAAGTTTTGCTGAGAACAGTAATGACAAAATATAGGTGAAATGGTCAAAGATGCAAAATAAATTCAAATTACCATAGTGCTGCATAATGTAATAGTTGATTATGAAAATAAAAGCGGCAGGGAGTCCTGTGGCACCTTATAGACTAACTGCAGTGTAGGAGCATAAGCTTTCGTGGGCAAAGACCCACTTCGTCAGATGCATGTAGTGGAAATATCCAGAGGCAGGTATAAATATACAGGCCAAAATCAGGCTGGAGATAACGAGGTGGATCCAATCAAGGAGGATGAGGCCCACTTTTAGTAGCTGATCTGGAGGTGTGAATTCCAAAGAGCAGAAGCTGCTTTTGTAGTTAGCAAGCCATTCACAGTCTTTGTTTAATCCACAGCAGCTAAACTATAAACCTGATTGGTTTTGGGGGGGAGGAAGGAAAACCAAGCCCACTCACAAGGGGGGAGGGCAAAGGAAGTAAGTGCCCCAGGGCCCAGCAATACAAGAGCTAGGGGCTCCCAGTCACCACTACTGCTGCTGCAGGAGCTTGAGCCCCTGGCCCTTTAAATCACCACTGGAGCAACATGTGGCATGAGTCCAGGTGATTCTGAGGGCTGCCTGTGGGGAGGCAGGGCGCCATTCTGCCAAGGGCCACACCCCTTCCAGGTTCATGGAGTCACCCTCCTCCCACATCTTCCCAGGGACCCAGCATGTCTATCCCGCCTCCCTGAGGAAAAGTGAAAACTCCAAAAGATAATGAAACCAAATAACTTTAAATCACTTTCCTAATTGTAATTGTTAAAATGAATAAAGTCTTGGAGTCCTTAGTGTACAACTAACTCATACACCTAACTTAGTCTTTTTACAAGATACAGAAACAAGTATTATAACTGGCAGCTCTTAAAATGTAATGGATAGAAAATACAAACCAGCCTCTTCGGTGCCCTATGAAATACAGTGCAACATCCAGAAAACAAACACTAACATAACCTTATGGTCCTACTTTACTGTAATTCATTGTGTTGCCTTTGCCTGAATGGTATCTCGTTCCCAAATCCCATACATCTTCATGTTGGTTATATACATGGGAGCACAAGAAAGTGCTGTTCTCATTCCATGTGTGTGTGTCACTTCTGCAGAAAAGTCATTTAATAATAAAATGTATTAAAATGTCATTAAGTTTTATTGCAAATAGTTATAGCTTCACTAACCTGGAATAGATCCACTCTGAACTATCACTGTTTCTGCTAGTAAAACTAGTGGTTCATAATTGAAAAATTAATACAACTGTTTCTAGGAACCCAACCTTCAACGATGTCTCAGTATAAAGCTCTGTGACTCTGAATAAAAATATAGGGCACCATCTGTCTTTCCTCTTTAATTTGTATTAATATTACATACAGGGTAAACACCCCAATGTTACAAAACACTGTGAAATCCAAATGTCTTTATTTCTTCAGCCACATATAATATTCTGTATGAGGGTACCTAATGTTATGAGTCCTTGCAATTACTAAGAGTATTTGAGAGACAAGATCGGTGAGGTGATACCTTCTATAGGACTAACTTCCATTGGTGAGAGAGAGAAGCTCTCAAGCCACACAAACCTGACCCATTTAGTCTCTCTAATCTTGGGACCAAGACAGCTACAACCATTTTGCATAGAACTACAGGATAAAGGAAACTGAAATCCAAAGCACCAAGATGTCGTCTACTCCAGTTCTGAATGGCTTCTCTGGAACCTCACAAATGGACCCCAGATAGTTACACGTTAGTGCTTCAGTTGCTTACAATGTAGCTGAAATGCAGCTTCACAAAGTATTGTCTCCATGACTGCATCATTCTCTTCATCTTCACTCTCTGCTTCTCCTTTGCCAGACGTAATTTGAACTCATAATCTCTTTGGCAGCCAGTGTATTTCTGGCCAGGGCAAACCCCTGGGCATGAAGCCAGAGATAAAGTATCACTATTTGCTGATTTCTTTCCTGTCCCCAGCCGTACTGGATCAGGTGCTGAGCAAAAGTTATTTGGATTTGTTATCAAGTGCCACTGTCACAGCAAAGATAGAGGAAACACTGAATGCTGAGCTGTTACTTTTGCATCCCTTTCTTTATTGTGCTGCAGCCAGCATAAAACAGAAGGAACACAATGGTGAATCAGCCTCATAATGTGTTAATTTGATGAGGGGGCAGCACTAGAGCACAGGAGATTTGAGATGGCAGTCCGCCTCAGGTCAGCTAGCAGAGCCTCAATAAAGGTTGGACAGTCGAGTCAATAAAGCATTTAAGAAATGAGAACGTAAAATAAATTTACCTTAAGCCCAATCCTATGTACCATTCTCAACTATCAGTTTAATACACTGGCTCTTCAAAGGAGGGATTTCAAGAGAAGTGGTAGGAGGATGACTTCATTACAAATTGTGAAGTCCTTTGAAATCTACTGATTAAAATGCATTATACAAGAACTAGATATTTATTATTATTACAGTTATTATTAATTATGGTTATTTAACTGCAGACAGGTGCTCCATTTCCCTGGAACACAAAAGTGCTCATTCTACTAGGGCACTAAAGCAGATGCAATAGAATGTAAACACACAGTTTGACCTTTAGCACTCACGCTGTCACTGTTTTAATAAAGGGGAGTTACCTTCAAATTTGACCTCAGATCTCACTGCCCCTCCTCAAGGATTTGGTGCAATAAATCCAAAGATAAGGTGAGGAGAGCTACTAGTGGCGTACTATTATTCAGGCTGAAGAGGGCGTGGGAAAACAGAACCAAGAACAAAGAAGGATGGGAAGAATGGACACATGATGGGTAATTTTTCACTTTCTTAACAATAGTTTCAACATCAATAATTTTGCACCTTTTTGTAGTATTTACCTAGCCTCACACTAAGTTCAGCTTTTGATGTGATATACCTGCAGTGATGCCCCACTTCTTATCACAAAATAGAAATGAAAAATCTGTTTCTACATTTGAGGGTGGGTGAAGAAGTCAGTTCAGGGAATATGAGCATATTATATCTATTATGTCTTCATCTGACCATCACATGGGTGGCAGATGTTCCATGTCATCTCTGCTATAGACAATAGCCTACACAGTTTACTCTACAGCTGGAGTAAACTGGAATAGCTCCACTGGAACTACACTGATGTACCATAAGGAGGAATAGGGTCCCATATATTTTCTGTTAAATGATACTTTGGGCCCCCAACCATTGGTTTAATAAAAGTCAGTAAAATTTAAGAATATACATTTCACCATTTAGCTACATACATTTTATACTAGGGTGACCAGAAGTCTCAATTTTATAGGGATAGCCTGGATATTTTGGGCTTTTTCTTATATAAGCTCCTATTGCTCCCCTAACCTCCCATCCCAATTTTTCACATTTGCCATCTGGTCACCCTATTTTATACAGAGTGCAGGTATTGACTGGTATGATTGGGAATTTGCATGCATTTACCTCTTGATTGCATACAGATGTAAAAGCAGCACTGTACTCTGCTAGAGCCATGTCATTCACCAAGTTTTTTGCCTCTTCGCTGAAAATGGAATCCATAACTCCATGCCTGTTAAATTCCCTGACCAGCCGGGTGATCAAGCTGTTTCTTTCATGGCATTTCCGGACAAGGCAAGCTAGCTTTGCCTACGCAGCATAACAACAAAACAAACAAGCTTCAGTTCCCCTATGTGTTTATATTTTGTGTCTAATCTGATTAAGCAGATTTTGATATCAGGGTTTAAGACACAGCTCATATTCCTCCATTTCTGAGCCAACAAACTAAGCAGCATCACAACAGCAATACACACATGCAGATAACTAGTCATGGATAGGGTTAGAGTTAGGGTTAGCATTTTCACATCAAAAACTATGAATGAGACACATCTAGCCTATTTAATTAGCTTCATTATTACGGGTCCTACAATTGACAGGTAACTGCTTTTGCTGTTATATACACCTTGGATTCTGTTATTTCCATTCCAACTGATCTGATGAAGTGGATTTTACCCACAAAAGCTCATGATCCTATATATTTGTTAGTCCTGAAGGTGCCACAGGACTGCTCGTTATTTTTACAGTTATGGACTAACACGGCTATCCCTCTGAGACTTTTTAGTCGTGGATATTTCACTTCTTTGTGTACTAGTTCCCTCTGGTGGCAAGACAGACAGTAACAGTAGCAATGATATCAGCTGCCCCTCCTAATCCTTGCCTGTACTCCAATTACAGTCAAATGTCTAACAGTCAGGAGGTTCAGAGGGGTATCCAAGTTAGTCTTCCTGGAAACAAGCATACTGCACACTACAGAAAGAGTCTGGCTAAGAATGCTGCTACTAAGAATAACCAAAACAAGCTTGCTCTGTAACTAATGAATAAGGTCAGAGATGCTGTAACATTTTCAGCAAAACATATTACCTTGAGTGGAGCTACTGTCAAGTCTGCTTCAATCTTTCTTTTCTGAAGTTCCTCGGTCTAAATGAATGGAAAACATTTTATACTCAATTATTCAAGATTCCCTTTACAATCTTTGGGTAGTTCAAAGGACTCCATCACCAGCCACGTCAGTTTATTACAAACATACCATACAAGCACCATATTACAAACATTATACTGGTATCCATCATTATACATGCATATCTTCAAGTACCTTATGAATCTTCTATACAGCTTCTCCAGAGAGTAGTTTCCCCTTTTCTCATCTATAACGTATGGTAACATGCCAGCAATCAGTAAGGATTTTCTCCCTGAATATTTGGTGACTGACTTCAAATTTGTGCATATAAAACACCTACTCTGCTCTGAAGTGAGGCCGTGATGGTACAACTTTCAGAGTGATATATATAGGAGTGCATATTTTACAGCTGTGGTTCTCAAAGTGTGGTCTGAGGACCACTAGTAAGCCAGGATCATCTTGCAGGTTGGCTGCGGGCTGGGGCTTGCTTCCCCCCAGCAGGGAGCCTATGTCAGCACTCCAGCCCCATGCACCCGTCCCAAAGTTGGAGTGCCAGCGCAAGCTTCCCACTGTGTGTGTGGGAGAAGGGAGGAGTGAGTCCCATGAGCCGGATCTGGCTTCCGAGGGAAGGACACGGCTCCATGTGCTGCCAACCCCTGACCCCCCAACTGGGGAAACAGCAGGGAAGGAAACTGCTCACTTGGAGGCTTTCCCTGCTGCTATCATTGGCTGGAATCTTGGCCAATAGGAGCAGCAAGGGCAGTGTCTGGGAGTGGCCAGACTCCCACTTCCTCCTGCACCCATTTTGTCATCATGGGTGTTTGGCTGATAGTCTGTGGAAAGGTCTTTGTTGAGCAGGGTGGGCCACAGGGCAAAAAGGTTGAGAACCACCGTTTTACAGCCTAGGATAATAATGTTTATTTCTTATAGGAAATCTTTCAGATCTCTTGGACAAAAGCACCTGCATTTTTCAAAATATAAGATCAGCTTCATATTAATAACTTAGAATTTCACAACAAAATATGGATTTCTTTAAGCTCATGTGGATATATTTTATTTGACAGATAATGATGACTGCATTTATATAATGTAATTACAATATACATTGCATACGTGTGCGCATACACACAAAAGGATCATTGCTTGAGAACAAACATGCTCATACTGCAAGTACTCATGATGCCATTTTAGATTATTATGTGTGGGTTTGCGATGGAAGATAGTATATATCAGAAAAGAAAGAATTTTTTAAAATCTGTTATGATCAGGGGAGCAAAAAAAGGGGGGCAGAGAAAGAGTTTTTCATTGGATACATTTCATTTATGTTGGTGCAAGAAATGAAATACCTGGCTGGTGAGATGGAGAAATTAGTGCAAAGACCTTTATTTTATCCTGTATTCTGTTGCTCAACTTTGACATGTTGCATTGCTAGAAGACTGATAAGCTCTGAAGGCATGAGTAAGAGAGGGGTATAGACAAGTAGTAAACGAAAATAAATAGGCCAAAATCTCAGCAGCAGCAAGGTGGCCACAAGGCGTTGAAGGAGACCTTGCTGTTGCTGTGAGATGCAACTATAAACACTGCCCTAAATGGATAGTTGGCAGGATGACCGGGGAAGTATGTTCAACAGCAGGATTCTTTTACAACTCTGTCTACTCCTGCTGCTGAACAGCATCATCTATTGACACATCCCATTATCTAGGCAGCCTACCTAGACCCCAGAATGACTTCCAAATAATGGCCACTCCCAGCTTCATTTGCTTATATTGGTTATTTAATGTTTAAATGTAAAAGGTTTTTAAAAATTAAATTAAATTAAATTAAAATAAAATAACCAAACAGATCAACTAAAACTATAGTACAGCATCAGGAGATATCGTTCTGAAGGGCATCTTTGCAGGCTTCATCTGAAGTACAGTATGGCTCCCTTTAGTTGCTCAGCAAATTCTGCTTTCAGAACAGTAAACAGCAAAACTACCTTTCATTTTGGTTTATTTTATTTTGTTTATCATTTTGATATGGCAAACATTATTCAAAAGATGGTGACTTACCAGTGTCATCTATGATGCAAACATACTCCTGCATTTATGGATAGGAAATAACTGTGACATCTCAGATGACACTGTGTGGAAACTGTGGGCAGATGTAGACTTTCTACTGTGACTACTGTGTGGTTAATTCACCCCTTTTTGGCACAGTGCTGGGTTGTCCAAGAAAGAAAAATCTGCCTGTCCTCATAAGAAAGACAGCAGAAGCTGAACTTGTGTAGGCTCTTTACAGTGAAGAGACTACCCTGATGATAAGGAACTGCTAGTTATGTTGTTTCTCAATTTCTGGACATCAAACATGGAGGATCTTCAAAAAATGATCTATTTCTGCAGTGCCACTATCTAAATAGAAGATAACTTTTGTACTGGGTTACAGGGAGTAACTTTTGCAGTTGGATTAGTTTTGAGAATATGCTCTACTGGATTGGACACAATATTTTATGTTGCATGTTCTCTCCCTCAACAGAAAAGAGAGCAGAGGCTGCAGCTTTTCAGCACAGCTGCTGCTGTCAGGAATAAGCTGCTAGGTAGCTCCCCACAGCTCTTCCATGATTGGCAGAAGGGAAGCTGTGATGGGTGAGAGGCTGAAAATGGATGAACTGATGGGTTTAGGGTGGAGGAAAGAGTATGGAACTGTACTAATTTGAGGAAAAGAATATTAGATTGGTGGTTGTGGGGCAGGGGAGCTGAGAGAAAACAGTGGAAAGAGTATTTTCCCCAGTAAATGCCACATGATTGTTAAAATTTTGGCCACACATCACCAATCATTCCCCCTTTAGGACAAACTGTTAACACTCATCAACTTGTCAGGTAAGTGTGACTGAACAATTTCTCCGGAAAGTGTGACTGAACAAAAATTGAAGGCACACAAAAGCAGTTAAGGCCCGTCTACACTTAAAAGTTTTGCTGCTTTAATTATGTTTTCATCATTAAAGTAGCAAACCTTCCTCCCCCTTATAGGTACTGCTCTAAAAGTGTTTACACAAGTATAGTTTATTCTGGTCCAGTGAAGTGAAATAAGCTATATTATTATAAAGTAACTTGTACAAGTATAACTGCATCTACACTGGGTGTCTTTCAGCATAACTATTTGAACAAAACATAATCACACTCCTATCTGACAGTTATGCTGGGCAACTTTTTAAGTGCATACAAGGCCTAATACCTGAAATGCTGGTGGATCTTGGTGCAACACTGGACATATATTAACATGTTTTATAGTCTTCTAAAGCATCTATATATTACACCGATGGATTTTAGAAATCCAGACTTTGGAAAAAGGAGGTCACAGAGAAGAACTTTGGATGCTATTTGCCTGCAATTAGACTATGTCTACACTACAAGTTTTGTGGCAGAGAGTATGCTAATGACGGTCTCATTAGCATGAACCCATCATTAGCATACTTTCTGCCGCAAAAACTCTGTAGTGTAGACAAAGCCTTAGGGTATATGAAGTATAGTAGAGGTTGGCAGCAATCTTAACCATGGAGAGATTATCATCTTTCCATAACTTTAGCCACTGACTCAGCCATCTTTTGTCTCCCTAGCAATGATCAGCTTTATGTGGCTGCCCCACACACACCATTTCATTGCCCTCATAACCATTCCTTAGAAAGAGGAATATTTTGGTCATTTCAGAAGAATAGAATGGAATCAGTAAGCTAAGCCTATGTTAGTCCATTCAGTTAAGCATTTAACAGCCAGTTTTATTATACCTTTTTGCACAGCTGAGCCCGAAGGCATTCCACTTCATTTTTCAAGTCTTGAAACTGACTTTGTAATACTGTCTGGTCCCTTATCTGGGATTTCAAGGTCAGCACTTGCTGTTCTAATCTCTTATTGGCTGTTGTATCCTCTTTCAGTTCTTCGGCATCCTTGTGCATGTAGTTGGTGCAGAAAACAATATACATGTTTTTTAAGTTAGATGTATAAAACTTATAAAACTATTCTTATTCAAGAATGATAAATTTATACCTGAAATTTGTCAATCAAAATGCGCACATTCCACATATGTCAATTTTTTACCTTGAGAGCCAGTGTAGGCTCATAAATATATTAGCGCTATTATGGTACCTGTCAAACAAAAATATTAAAACCTCTTTGGAACAAAGAGTTCACAGCATTCCTGTGAGATGGTTGTAATAAAAATGCCTATTTCACATATGGGAAATCCGAGCACAGATAAGTTAAATGAGGTCATGAGCAAGAAAGTGGCAAACAAGAATAAAGTCCAGAAGTGCTTATCTCCAGCTATTATCTCACACATCCCTTCTTTCTCTCACACATTCATTTCACACAGCAAACTGTCGTATTCTTTCTTGCACATCTATTTTAGTCTCTGAAAACCTTTAAAATTAGCTGAGCATCTGACACATTGTTCACTTTAAAAGGATAATAAGAGGTTATGAAATTCGGAAGACAACAAACTTTTAAATGCAACTCCTGTTCTTTGAGTTTGTTCTGTTTCATACGTTTAAACTGAAAGGGTTTATGAGGACTTCAAATTCATGGCCTGAACCATTATACCAACTGCAAGAGATTCATATGAGCAAGTTTGTTCTGTGTTGCAGAAATCCTTCACCTTTTTATTCCTTAAGTGAATATCTATTGATGATTGTGGAGGATGCAATTCCTGATTGAACTGAGGATGCTTAATTGAGCAACAAGAGGAAAACGCAATAAAATCCTCTTTGCATTAAGTTTAGTTTAAAGATACACTTGCTGTGCATTTGTTGACCAACTCTGAGCAAATATCGTATTGTTCATAGATTTATAAATTATAAATTTATTATTATTTGAATACCAAAAGCCACTGAAATCACCTGTTGAAAACCCCAAATAAGGCCAGATTTTCAAAAGACCTCAGCATTCAGCAGCTCCCACTGTGAAACCTATGGACAGATTTTCAAAATATCAACCACTCAACATGCTGATGTTTTAAAAAGGATACTGGGAGCTCAGTAAGTTGTATAAGTGAGTGCTATGCTCTTCTGAAATATCTGGCCCTGATTCTGCATGTAGAGTAGTTTTGAAAAAACTGTCCTATGATTAGAGAGGGAGCATGTCTAGTAATCAGAGCACAGGACTTGGAGTCATAAGTTCTATGTGGGCTCTGCTACTGATATGCTGTAAGATCTTGGGCTTATCCCCTCTACGCATCATTACCTCCGCTGTAAAATTATTATTTCCTATATGGCAGTTCAATACTCCATATCACCCCACTGCCTGGTGATGCAGAAAGTCTTGCATGTTAATATCATTCAGTGTGCAGACTCTAAAGTAGGGGATATGCTTCAACTAATGTTTCCTTGATGCAACACTTACTTAAGAGCAAGCTAATAAGCTTATACTTCCTGTAAGCGGAGCACTTGGGAGGCTGCCCAGGAGAGATTCATATGCCACCTAGCTGATTAGCAGAGCACCCATAGCCATCCACAGATGGTAGCATGTGTTTCTACTGGTGGTGCACATCTATGCATGCCTTGATGCATATAACAGAAGTTATTCTGCACAAGTATGGAAAAAATTAGAGGGAACATTGCTGACAAGCTATATGCATCTGATCTCTCTCTCATTTAGACCATTAAACATGGTTGCATCCTCTTTTAGGCTTTGTGGAGATGATACTGTTTGCGATAAAGTATGTGAGGTAGGATAGCTTAGCACAGAAATTAAGGTATAGTGATTTATTACAAATAGACTATGTTAATACCTTCCTGGGATAAAGTGCAATCTTTTGTCTAGGGTGACAACTTACTGTAAATACAGCTGTGATCCTCAGTCCAACCAGTTACTAGCAGGAAGGGAAATATGCCCAGAAAAGCAGCTCATGTTAATCACCGTGCCAAAGCTCTTAAATTTGCTTGTTTTAATTAAGAGAATGACTTTCTACCAGCAAAATTCAGATCACTTTCTTCATATTGCACAAGAAGTCATTATTATTTATAGCTTATATTAATATTATTTATTGCTTGATGGTTGTAAAAAGGTTTCTTTTAGCCCAGAAATTTCAAATTGGAAGCAAATTGAGAATAGAACATTTATTAAAATAAATTCATCTCCACAGTAGTGTCTTGGCTATTGTTAAGATAAGTTTGTGTATAATAAGAGCTTTTCTGCCTCTCAGCTCAGCTTCCCCTTTTGTTTAATCCTGACAGTGAAATTAATATCCTGTGTTTAAGGCATCACAGACTCTTGCCAGAGAAATAATGGTATCAAATACTTATCGTAAGGGAGCAAACTCTGCCTTCACATGCATGTTTGTAGCCCTTTTGATTTCACTGGGAGTGAGATGCATGTATGACCTCACATGTTCAATGAAAGTCTGAATTGGACAAACACAGGGACTGTCAAATGGGAAGGGGAATCTATTGCATAAATGAACATTAGTAATTAGCAAATACTAAATAAATTTATGAAAACAAGTCAAGATCGGCAATGAAGATATTTCTGGTTTGGTTTCAGCAACTTCTCAGGCATTAACATATTATTATGAGGGAAGACCTACAAATTACAAGATGAGTTTACTGAGGAATGCTACTACATGGCTGATGATCATATGGCTGGCAATCATGTCAGTAGCACAATAATATTGCGCGCAATGGACAAAGACTAAACATACATGTAGACTGTGTTAAGAACCTAGCTAGAGATGGATCTGGGTAGGACTCAAACTGCATAGAGATTATGTCTCTTTGGGTTTACTATGCAAATTGTGAAGCTTATTCCGAGATAATTTCAAAATAGCTTATTTTGAAATTTGCGCTGTCTACAAAGCACCAGATTTTGTAATAATACTATTCCAAATGTCCCTGAACCCTTGGGGAATGAGGTTTACAGAGATGTCAGAATAGCAAGCCCATTATATTTTGAAATAACAGGGGTGCTCAAAAGATGCAGAATAGCTACTTCAATATACTTCCAGTATTCCAAAATAGTGCTGCAGTGTAGATGTAGCCTTAGGGATTTGCAATGACGCTGATATTTTTATGAAAGAGTTCTTCAGTTTATTTAAAATTATGTTTGTAGCATTACTGTCTGAGCAGCTCATGAACATCAGTTAATTTACCTTCACAATCCTCCTATGAAGTTTGGAATATTGCTTGAAGGGCTGGTTTAAAATTTTCCATAAACATGGTTTTTGATGGAAAATTGGATTTTCGACTAAATAGAGTTTTCAGGAAACAACTCAGTATTCTTCAAAGTTTTTGATCAAAATAGGCTTTGATTTAAGGATGAAAACCAAAATATTTAGATTCTGAGAAGAGGATGGAGGACTAGGGGATTCAGCCTCTAGGGCTGGGAGGCAGAGTGGGGAATTGCAGGATTCAACTGCCAGGACTGGGAGACAGAATGGGGCTGTTGGTGCTAGGAGGTAGAGCAGGAGGCTGGGGGATTGGGCCACTGGGGGCTGGGAGGCAGAGTAGGAGCCAGGGCCTGAGGGATTAGACCATAGGGGGCTGGGAGGCAGAGTAGGGGTCAGAGAGCTGAGGGATTGGGCCACCAGGGCCTGGAGGCAGAGCAGGGGCTGAGGGGATTGGGCCTCCAAGGCTGGGAGGTGGAGCAGGAACTGGGGGGTGAGGATTGGGGCTGCTTGACCCAGCACTTCCCTCAACTGCCACTAGGCATAGGCAGCATAGGGTGCTACTTAAGTGGCACCCCAAATTTAGTGGTGCCCTATGCAGCTGCTTAGTTTATGACTAAGGGCAGCCCCAATCTTTTTCCAAAGAGTATGTTTTTCCTACATTCCATTTATTCACGTACCATTAATTGGCAGCACTGTTTTCCATGCCTTCCTCCGCCATCTGCTTCTTTAAGTTGATGTAATTCAGTGAGTGCCTGTGTCAACTGAGTTCTGACTTCTTCATATTTTGCTTCTACAAGGCCAAGTTCTCTGTACCAATTTTGAGCCTACAAGAGAAAAGAAATGAATAAATAAAATTACAGTCAGTAGTTATCATCACTTCCCCGTATGTACTTACAATCCTAAGGTTGGATTCCGATCTCACAGACACTGAAAAGTGACTCTACTGAAAAATGGAATTAGACCATGTAAAGCTGGCCTTACAATCAAAATACAGCTAGGTTCTTGGAATAAGTCTGTAGCCAGACAGGAACCCCCCTTATAACATCCATTTTTGCTTGCCTGGAGCATACAGGGCACACAGAGCAGAAGGCCCAGGCTGTGTGACCGTGAATGGCTGTAAACAGAGATATGCCAATTGCTGACCAAGAGGCTGCCAAGGAGTGCCCTTGACTTAAGGGCATATTGATACGAACACACAGCCGTCCGCAGGGGGAGGAATCTCTCGCCCAGTAAAAAAATGTCTAGTACACACAATTTAGTTATCGCTCTTGCAAGTGTAAATTAACTTGAAACTTGCTTGTAAGAACTGGCGCCATAACGGATCAGTACAATTCGGCATCTTAGATAAGAAAGAGGATACGGGCCCCCAAGGGTATAAAGATGGGTCCAGCAGCACATTTACTCTGAGCGTCAATCTACCATCTATCTGCTAGTCAGGTTAGGTGTTTGATCTCCCGAAGTTCCAAGGGGACGCCCACCACGTATTCGTCTTTCCTAGGAATTGAGAGACCGGCCCTGGCCTGACACGCTGGAGTCGAGAGGCACACAAGGGGGGAAAAATTGTACCTGGATGTGGTCCTTTGTCTTAAGTGTACACATAGACTTAGAGCTCTTTAAAGATTAAGCTGTCACTTGGTACTATTATTTCTATTTTCTATATTTTCTTTGTAACCATTTTTTTTAAAATCTATATTTGCTAGCAGTTAAGAAATAGAGCAATAGCCATTGTAACCATATGCTTTTATAAGTCTTTTAAATAAACCTGTAACTGTTTAAGTTTTTTAACCTGACTCCTTCAGTTGCTGTAACAGAACCAAGCACAATTTAAAAGAACTTCAGCTGGTCACAAGGGACAGGTATAGGAAGAGCTTAGGCATTTGGATTTGTGTCACTCCCAGGTGACAGATCCATTGAGGCATCTCTCAGTCTTTCCTAGGGTGCCCGCTGCAAAGGGATCTTGTATTCTAGCAGCTAAAATCTGAGGTGTAATAAGCTCTTCCTATAAAGGGGCGTCTGTTGGCCTGCTGGCTACCCTCTACCCCGGTCCTAGCAGTAAAGACACTGACGTTAAACCTTTCTCGGAAACACACACACTTCCCTGACCGTCGGCTGACAAAGTCCCAAGAGAAAATTATCCATCTGCAGTAAATGCACCTAAAAATTTGTAATGAAGCTCAATAATTGATATACACAATATTTCAAAGTACCTTATATGAAAATCAGCCTAAAAGTATCAGGAGGAGTGTTAGGGTACATCTACACTACCATCCTAGTTCGAACTAGGGTGGTTAATGTAGTCATACAAACTTGCAAATGAAGCCCGGGATTTGAATTTCCCGGGCTTCATTTGCATGTTGCCAGGCGCCGCCATTTTTAAATGTCCGCTAGTTTGGACTCCGTGCCCGCGGCTACACGTGGCATGAACTAGGTAGTTTGGAATAGGCTTCCTATTCCGAACTATCTGTACACCTCGTTCCACGAGGAGTAACGGTAGTTCGGAATAGGAAGCCTATTCTGAACTACCTAGTTCATGCCGCGTGTAGCCGCGGGCACGGAGTCCAAACTAGCGGACATTTAAAAATGGCGGCGCCCGGCAACATGCAAATGAAGCCCAGGAAATTCAAATCCCGGGCTTCATTTGCAAGTTCGTATGACTACATTAACCACCCTAGTTCGAACTAGGGTGGTAGTGTAGACATACCCTTAGTCTGTATCTACAAAAACAATGAGGAGTCCTGAGACACCTTAAAGACTAAGATTAGGTCTACACAGCAACATTATTTCATAAATAACTAGTGTTATTTTGAAATAACTTAGTCCGTGTCTGCACAGCAGGCAGTTATTTCAAAATAATGTCAAAATACTATCAAGCTGGAGGACTTTTATTTTGACTCCTGTAATCCTCATTGTATGAGGAATAAGGAAAGTTGGAGGAAGAGGGCTCTATTTTGAAATAAGTGCTGTGTAAGCACTCCCTATTTCGAAATAAGCTACGCAATTGACATAGCTCAATTTGCGTAGCTTATTTTGAGTCAAACCCAGCTGTGTAGACACACACTCTCAGATTTATTTGGGCATAAGCTTTTGTGGGCAAAAACCCACTTAGTAAGATGCATGACTAAAAGTAGGATTTTGTCAGTTGGAAAAAAATAAGAAAATGTTTCATTTAATAATCTGGGAATGGGGAACACAAAGGAAAAAGCTCATCTGTCTGTTTTTGCGTTGTTTTCACGAGGCATTATTATAGACTCCTCCATTAATTGTAATTTTGAAAATGTAAATGCGAGATGGCATGCTATTAAGCATCTGATTATCCTACTACCCCTTAGCTGTAAGACCTCAAGTATTCTTCCTTTTGTCTGTTTGAAAACAAAGGCTACGCCTTCTACTATTTTAACAAAGGAAGTTTTTTGTACTTTTGCAAAAAATTCTGACCAACAAGGAATGACCGTGCAAGTCATCACTTACTAGGGGAAATCAAAGAGAGACAAGTTGGTTCTCTAAATCAGAGACCTTTTCCTTTTATAATTCTTTTTTTAATGTTTTTTGAACACTGGTGGAAATGAGAAAAGAACCAAAGAAAACAAGAAAAGGATTTGCTTCACATGAATACATCAAATGGGAGATTACCTCTTTTTTGGCCTTTTCTAATTCCCCTTGTTGTATTTTTAGATCTTCCTTCAACCTTTCTAGTTGTTCTTGCATTGCATTGCAGCTTTCAGATGTGCTTCCCTGCATAAAGGACAGAAATCATTCCCTTCATGCATTTAATGTGACATGCAACTTCTTAAAGGAGAATGTGAATTATCTTCAGCTCTTGAAATGACATTAATTTAAGAAATGTAAATGAAGGCTAGCTATGGTATTTCCTCCTGTGTACTGTGGGTCAAATCAACAGCATAAAGATTTAAGATTGTGTTAAGGAATCACTGAAGGATTCTCTTACTACAAGGGAGTCCTCAGCTAGTGTGCATCAGCTGCTCTTGGTCCCTTGAAACAATGCAAGTCCCGAACAAGGCTGGGGTGGCAGGGGTTGTATCAAGGCTTGCTTCTTCTAATGCCCTCTTTTTCTCAGGCATGCCAGAACACTGCTCTTTTGCAAGTAGGGATTTAGCCCTGTATCTTTTGCAGACTCTCAAGACAAATGCAAACATTTTTAGATTCCCTTTTTAAAGAGAAACAGACACTTCATGCAAAAATATCTAAGCAGCTTTTAGACCTGATTCATCAGTACATTTATTCCAGTTTTAATGGAATAAACCCAATGTGGATAAATAATTCCGATGATTTAAATAGTTTTTAGGGAGTTTTTGTCTTATTTTTTCTTTTACATTTCTAAGAATATTTGTATAAAAATAGGATCTTAGAGATAAAATCTTCTCTTGCTGATCATCCTCAGCGGTAGTAAAATTCTGTTTATGACATTATAATAATCTCCTAATAAATTAATTGTGATATCAGAGAGGTTTATGACTTGGAGGGGGAAATAGGAAGAGAAGACCCATTAAGAAATTAAGATCCTGTGTTCAGACAAATATCCGTAGCAATCAAAACAATGAAGATCCCTACACAAACTTTTTTTTAACTCTGAACATTTTTCACAATTTAAGATAAAACATCACTGCTAAGGAGCCCTAAAGATTTCACTTCTATCAAGCATGTACCTGGACTGTAATGCTAGAAGGGAAATGGATTTCCATTCTGAAATAGACCAAATCCCCCCAAAATGTAAAAATATCCCATAAAACAAAATTCTGAAAAAACTCCAACTTCATCTAAATATCTAAAAGGGTGTCATAAGGGAGAAAACTTGTTCATCTTGGCCTCTGGGGATAGAACAAGAAGCAATGGGCTTAAACTGCGACAAGGGAGGTTTAGGTTGGACATTAGGAAAAAGTTCCTGTCAGGGTAGTCAAACACTGGAATAAATTGCCCAGGGAGGTTGTGGAATCTCCATCTGTGGAAATATTTAAGAGTAGGTTAGATAAATGTCTACTAGGGATGGTCTAGACAGTATTTGGTCCTGCCATGAGGGCAGGGGATTGGACTCGATGACCTCTTGAGGTCCTTCCAGTCCTAGTATTCTATGATTAAATGCTTAGCTTTGATAGAACTGAAACATCTCATTATGGATTTCAAGTTTTAAAAGGTTAAAATCATTGTTTTCTATTTTTTTTAAAATTTGATAAAGTCATTTCAAAATGAAAAATCAAAATATTCTGTTCTGACAATGCCAAAACAGGACATTTTATCATTATTGAAATGCATCATTTGGTGAAAAAAAATCAACTTTTTAAAAAAATATTTGTTTCAGCTAAAATTTTCCAACCAGCTCTTATGTAAATAAAGTTATTTTCTATAGTAACCACTCTGACATTTGTGAAAAAAAATGAAATTTTATCATGCAAACTGACAACTGGCTCATTTGGGTTAATATTACCTTTGCAGATTCTTGTAGCAAATCCATACTCTCCAGCACATTAACACAACATTCCGAAAAATTGTTTGATATTGTGTCTTCTGTTTCAAAAGCTAACTTTGCTGCCTCAGTTCTTTCAGAGGTCTCTTTGAGTTCCCTGGAGATCGCAAGGTTTTGATCCCCTGAAATTGCCCTTATTCCTGTGTTACTAAAATGACATTTAGAAGTCTCCGTGTTACCAATTTCCTTTTCCAAACAGGTGTCTTTATCTTTTCTAGTGAGATATTTTGAGGATTCTGTAACTTGAATTTCTTTTTCTTTAGTATGTATTTTGCCAGTCACTGTCTCTGTTTCCTTTACTTGCTTTCTGTGGGATAGACGCTTATTTTCTTGCTTCTGTTTTAGCAACTTTCCCTCTGTTTCTGGAATTTTATTTTTTATGTAGCTAATTCTCAAAGCAGACGTCAGTTCCTTCAATTCATTATTTTCTAGAAGAATATTCTGAATTACTTTCTGAGATTCTGGAAGTTGTTCAGAACTTTTCCTCTGGACTCCAACTGTATCATTTTTCAGTATGTATTTTTCCTCTTGTAGGTCACAAATTATTTTGTAATATCTGGTTTTACACTCATTCAATTCAGAAAGAATTGTAATGTATTTGTCGTGTTCACATTTTAGCTCATTTAAACATCCCAATAAGCTTTCTTTGTCTCTTTTCAGTTGAGATATTATTTGTAAATTTCTCTCTCTCTCTTCTTCCAGTTCATGAGTTTTTTCTAAGTATTTCTCTTTGTCTTGTAAGAGTTTAGCTATTTCTCTGAAAAAGTTGTTTCTCTCCTCTTTAAGTTCAGAAAGCAGCTGGAAATATTTATTCTTCTTTTCATCAAGAACAACAATTTTCTTCGGAAGTTTATTTGAGTCTATCACTGGTATTTCTCTCTCAGAATTTCTAGCTTCCTCCTTATCCAGGTTCTTGGAATGGATTTGAGTCTCACCCAAGAGAACACAAATTGCTCCTGGGCACCTAAAATTCTTTTCTTTTGAAACACTGTTATAACATTTACCATACATTTCCTCCTTGGCCAATAACTCTTGGGAAGAGACAATATCAATTTCACGTCCTGTTAATATGCGTTGAGAATATGTATCTATTTCCTCTTCTAATGCACACATCTTCAGATAATATCTATCATTCTCTTCCTGTAACACGAGGAGTTTCTGTGAGTAGCTTCCATTCTCTTTCATCAATTCAGATATTCTTTGAGAATATATATCCACTAGCTTTTCTAACCTACCTATTGTCAGCGTATATCTTTTGTTTTCTTCTGCTGCTGCTGATAAATAATGAATATGTTCAGTGTATTCCTCCTCTAGGGATAACACTTTCTTTAAGTATATATTTCTCTCTTGAGACAATATATTTAGTGGATACGTATACTTATTTTCCTTCAGTGCTGACAGTTTTTGAGAGCATTTACTATATTCCTCTATCTGAAGAGTCATTTGTTTGCACAATGACTTCTCCTCCTCTTCCTGTTCACACAGATTCAAACACTGCTCTCTCTTTTCTTTCAATCCAACACTTTTTTGTAGACACGCTTTTATTTGGTCAGTTAGATTCTCGGGTTGTTTGACCTTCTCTTCTCTTGCAGTAACGTTCTCTTCCAGGCATCCTCTGCTCACTTTATCAAAGGTACAAATTGCCACATGTTTTCCATGTTCATCCTTAAGTTCAATGTTCTCTTGGGGATGACCCTCTATTTCCTTGTGAAGGACAGATGTGTTTTGGTCACTGGGGATACTTGCTTTTTGCTTCCCAGTTTCATCATGTACAATTTTAATTAAAACGCTGTTAACTTTTTTGCAAATGCTGATTTGTGCTCTTTCATCTCTTTTGTCTTCTTGTTGAGATTTCTCTGGACCATCTCTAAGTTGATTTTTTCCATCTTTTAGTTCTTTATTTGGGTTATTCTTTCCATCTGTGTTTTTCTGTATGATTTCTTCATTTTGCAAAACTTTTTCCATATCATGTTTTTCAACTTGGAGTTTGAAAATTTCAGTCTCAGGGATAGCAACTTTTTCCTTTAAAGTTTCAGAATCATCACCAAAAGAGACTCCTTTCACAACATGAAAGACTCTATTAAAAAGACAAAAGTTACTGTGATATGTCTGTCTATAATTCAAATTCAGCATTTTGTTCACTTGGAAAACAGATTCACCTAGGACCCTGTGGATTTCAGGTTTTAGCAAGACAAACTGAGCCTCAATCAAAGTGGCAACTATGTAGACAGTCGAAGGATTAGCTGCTTGATTTGTAGCTTCTTGCTTTAAGAGAAAGAAATATTCTTCTTCGTTGGTCATCTTACTTCTTCCATCATTGCTGAGCCTTTCAGAGCAAGATATGATTAACTGTCTGTTTTTAAATTGCCTTGGCATGCCTCCAAACAACAGAGAAGTACCATCTGATCTTTGTGCACAAAGTATTACCTGGTAATAAAGAAAAAAGAAGTGTCACAGAATGAAAAATATAAGTGATAAGGAAGTTACCATAATGCTATTTCATATATACTGTATTTTCCTTTTTTACTTTTACTGTATATATATTGTTAGCCAATATCATATCATCTCAGAATGTCTTGTACTCATGCTAAACTTTATTGTGGAAATCTAGTCATAGTTTTGTAACCATTTTCTTTCCATGTGTAGAATTATTGGAAACAAGATGCATGTGCTGTTTTGCCAAATAGGAATTGTGTGCTAGGTACAGTTAATGTAAATTTTTCTATGGTCTACTGATATCTGGAAAGTTATTTATAAAACACAGATTTTTTAAAAAAGGTGTGCGAGGTTGATCCCTATAATAGCTGTAAATTGATTAAGTGAGATATATCCATGATCCTGGCAAGTGACGCTCATACCACATTGGAGAAGACAAAACCCAAGATCGCTGCTAACTTGACAAAGGGGGAAATTCCTTCCTGACCCCACATATGGCAATCACCTGAACCCCAAACATGTGAACACAAACCAACCAGCCAAGCAGCTGAGAGAGAATGATTGGTATCACTTCAGCACACCAGTCTGTCCTGCCCAGCATCCCATCTCCAACTGGAGACATCCCTGATGTTTCAGAGGAAGAAAAAACAAAAAAATCTAAAAACTTGAAACACCCAACTCGGAATACAGTGGAATAAAAAACAAAAACAAAAAACCCTTTCTGAATCCTGCAGGTAACTGGCTAAAGCCCCAAAACATGAGATTTTAGGAATATCAGACATAACCTGGAAGGGACTTTCAGGGCTGGCAAGTCCTGACCCATATCTTTATAAGTTACCCCCTCAGAGAATCCCACTCAGAAATTAATCCATCTCTCTCTTCAAATTAATTTTTTTGCCTTACAACTTTTACTGGGAAGCTGTACTGGAACCTCACTCCTCTGATGATTAGAAATATCCTTCTAATTTTCACTCTGAATTTATTGACAGCCATTTTATATCTATTTGTTCTTGTGCTAATGTTGTCCTTTAGCTTAAAAAGCTTCTCACCCTCCCTTGTGTTTATTCCCCTGATGTAGTGTTAGAGAGCAATCACATCCCCTCTCAGCCTTCTTTATGCTAGGCAAAACGTGACAAACTCCTTTAGCATCCTCATATAAGATGCATTTCCCTGACCAGCCTAGTAGCTTTCTCACAGCCTGTTCCACTTTGAATTTGTCTTTCTTGAACACAGGTGACCAGACCTGTACATACCATTCCAAATGAGGTCTTTCTTGCTTGTCCATGCAGCTTTAACTCAGAACCCTTGTGAACCTACACAAGGGTGCAATTTTAAATACCATGATCACATATTATTTTTCCATGGAATCTTTTCCTCATTCAATACACAGGATACACCTGTTCTGGGAATGAATGAACGAATCATTCAGGGCTGATTAACCATAGGAATTCTACTTCATTTGTTGCTGAAGAAGGAAGTTGTAAAATGAATAAGATGGGGCATTGCAGGAAGAGACAGAGTGGTCACAGGATAAAGGCAGCTGAATGCTATCCTGGAGAATTAGATTCTATTCCTGTCTCTGCCATAGAGTTTGCACATCATGCTAGTCAAGTCACTTAAAACACACTATTCACAGGCAACCACTGATTGTCTGTTTCTCTTTTTATGCGTGCCCAACTCGAGTCCTTGTGAGTCATAGGTTGGCTGGAGTCCACGCATCAGGGCCAGCAGTCAGTGCCAGGGGTGAGTTGGGGATCAAGCTGGGGTTGGCGACTGACGATCAGAGGTAGTATCAAGCTGGGATCAAAGGGCAGGAATCAGGGGCGGAGTCAAGCCTGAGTCGGTGATCAGAGATAGCACCATGGGGAGGCAACAGTCAAGGCCAGAGTTGAGTTTCAAGCAGATGCCAGCAATCAAGAAACAAGCTGACGTCTGGAGGGCTGTTGATTAGAAACTCTGCAGATCGTCATTTTCCAATCATTGGACAGAGCAGACAGTTTTATGCCACTGGAGGCGCAATATTTGTTATCAAATGCTGTGTGAATTGTCCACTGATTTTCATAAACATACATTACAATCCCCAAGGTTTTATCAAAGTAACTTTTCCCTTTCTAAACAAGGACATACAGGGTTGTCTAGATTACAGTGTTTTTTCGAAAAAAGTGGCCTTTTTTTCTGAAAAAACGTCCCGTGTCTAGACTGCTGCCGCGTTCTTTCAATAGTAAATTGAAAGAACGTGGCAGTTTTTTCGACTGCGGAAAACCTCGTTTTATGAGGAATAACGCCTTTTTTTCAAAACTGCTCTTTTGAAAAAAGGTGCTATGTAATGCAGACTGTGCTTTTTCGAAAGCAAGCATCCAGACTGCCTGGGTGCTCTCTTTCGAAAAAGTGGATTGCTTTTTCCAAAGTACTTGTTATAGTCTAGATGCTCTTTGTCGAAAGAGACTTTTTCCAAGAGTATCTTTTGAAAAAGCCTCTTTCGAAAGAGGCTTGCAGTCTAGATGTAGCCAAACAGTCAGATTAAAAACTCACCCTTCCATATGCATTGTTGCTCTCCAGAGCCTTTTCTGCCTCTAACATTATGTGGAGTTATCTCTGCCATTAGGGGCAGAGTCCTGGTTCCACTGAAGTCAATAACAAAACTTCCATTGACTTCAGTGGAGTGAAGATTTCATCCTGAATAAAGAATATCTCATCAGTTGACATCCAAGAGCTGGAATTCATTATTTTATTATATAAATAGAAAATCTGTATGTTATATATGCATGTCTCTAAGAGCAAAATATCATCAAGTAAATAATATTTTTCTGAGTACATCTGTCTTCACCTTAGAGCAAAATTGAGACAGTCTGTTCTGGGAGACATGCTTTTATACTAATTCCCAGATTCATTCCATCTGCTCCTTATTTATCTTGCAACTCACAGATAATACTGTGCTTGCAAAGACAGCAAAAATAGCAACAACTTTTTTCTCACCTGTTCAATGTTAGCTAGCCTAGGTTCGTCAACATTTTCCACCAAGGTACTGGAGCTGCGCTCTGAAAATGGTATAAAACATTCTGATGGTAACCCCTTCACATTATTATGCCAGCCTTAGCCACGTTCTGTTACAACAGAACATTTGAACAGGTATAAAGCTACCGAATGAAATATTCTAAGTCACAAAAAATCTGCCCTGAGGCATTAGAATGAAAAATATTGTAACTTCTGTGTATGCAAATCCAATATATGTGCTTAAATCACACACACTTTGATGGACAGATAAACCTGTGTGTTTTCATAAAACATACTAATAAATAATATTGCTTCTAATATAATAAACACATAAACTAGTTGGAAATAGAGTTCATGAAATCAAATCTTTCATAAAATTAGACATCTCAAAAAGATAGTCATTTCAGTGCATATATTGCAATATGGTTTATCACATCCCTATCTTTTTATCCTTCAAATGATTACAAAGTAATTTCCAATGCACAGTAGGCATTACAATGAGAAGAGATATCATCTTGTTCATTATCAACATAACTTTCATTATGTGATTTTTCTTCTATCTAGAAAAACAGTTCCTATAACTGGTTATTTATAAGAAAAGGAGTTTGAAAAAATCAAAGGGTTTACTGTAATATTAATAAATAAAGGTCTAGAAAACATGACCTATGAGGAAAGATTGAAAGAACTGGGTATGTTTAGTTTGGAAAAGAGAAAACTGAGAGGGGACATGCTACTAACTTTCAAGTACTTAAAAGGGTGTTACAAGGCGGAGAAAAATTATTCTCCTTAACGTATGATAGGACAAGAAGCAATGGGCTTAAACTGCAGCAAGGGAGGTTAAAGTTGGACATTAGGAAAAATTTCCAAACTGTCAGGGTGGTTAAACACTGGAATAAATTTCCTAGTATTGGAGATATTTAAGAGCAGCTTAGACAAACATCTGTCAGGATGATCTAGATGGTACTGGGTCCTGCCGTAAAGGCAGGGGATTGCACTTGATGACCTCTCAATGTCCCTTCCAGTTCTATGATTCTATGAAATTCTTATATAGGGTTTTTCAGTCACAAATGTCAAAGTGCGTTACAAAAGGAGGATTATACATTTTACACAGATGCTAGAGGCTATCGGTGTGATTTTCAAAAATAGCCTACATTTGCTTCTATCGAAATCAGCTGAAAAACTCTTACTGATTCCAGTAGGAACAGCTGAGTACTTTTGTGCGCCAAGTGATCAAGATGCTGATTTTGTAGCTGATCTGAAAGACAGCTCCTCCAGTCACATAACTCACGCAAATACTGTCCTGCAAATTTGGTTCAGCCGTGACTTATAGGGAAATGTGTCTCCTAATGAATTACCCCTACAACTTCTTGTAGCTCCTAGGCTTTCCTCAAATGTCTCACCATCAAATATTACCAAAGTCCAACTCTTTTGAGCTTATGAGATATGTTGCAACCAGAGTTTGCAATAACATGGCACTAGACTAGATACATCCAAACAATCCTTAGACACATGCACACACTCCATCATAATGAAATTCTTCCTTAACTGGTAGCAGATATAAAATAAAGCAAAATTCTTACTTGCTCTTGTATGAGGCTGTTTGGTATGTTGTAGAAAAGATGAAGTTTGACTAGCTTTGTTTCTGGCTGGATCCAAGACTGCTTCCCACTTCTGATTTAGCTGCTTATCCTGAAAGCACAGGTCTCCATTCTTAATGAAAAAAAGGAGAAAGGAAGAGGAAAAATAGTGTAAATAAAACAACTTTTAGTACAGTGCATCACAAACTGCTGCACAATTTTCTTTATTGCATTTCTTAATTTTTTCCCCAATACTAATTACTGCCTCCCAGCCAATCATACTTTAAAACAATTTTTTTTCTATAGCACCTTCCATCTAATGTTTTTGGCATGCTTCATATTAGCCCAAATTTATGCTACGGCACATAGCAGGGAAAGAACATACCTAAAGCTGTGCCTTAGTATCCTAAAGTATTGTTTCATGTGAAAATAATTCTTATTAATATTTTACAAAAGAGGAAAAATATAACCACCGATTCAAAAAATGACACATGGTGCTGTCTGACATGGCATTTAAAGGATCCATCAAACAGAAAAAAATATGCCGTGTAAAAGAATCATGAACGAATTTAGAAACACTTCACACACTGAAGGTTACCAATAGCTCTGCTCCTGGGCTTGACATCTTCCTACAAGACAAGGCTATATATCAGTTCCAATCAAAAACTTGTAAAAAAAGGAGTTATTAATGTGGGAGAATGTAGGAGAAAGAATGGCCTTATGGCTAATGCAGTGGAGTGGGACTCAGAAAATGTTTTATTCCTGTGTGATGTTGGGCAAGTCACCTAACCTGGTTTCCCGTGGCACCATCTAATCCAGCCCAATGGAAACTTTTAGGACTTCCAGTTTAACATCTGGAAACTGATGAAGGCCCTGAGCATTTAATGCTGATAAAACATTCCCTTGGCTTCTTGTACTCCCCTGTTTATTTACTGCAGTATAAAATGGGCTTTTCAAACCCATAAATTGGGGGTGGGGAACCTCTGGCGTATGGGTTGGATGAGGCCTACTGCTTAATTTCATCCAGCCTGCTGCAAATCTCTATGCTACAAACTGGAAGCCCCAGCATATCCCTTCAGCCCCCGTACGCAGGGGCAGTCAGGGAAGCCCTTGCTCCAGCACCCACACCACAGCTCCCTTTGGCTGGGAGCTGTGATTAATGGAAGCTGAGGGGCTAGAACCTATGGGTAAGGGCAGTGCAGACCATGTAGAACTGCCTGGGTCAGTTGCAGAGGTTACTTTCAGGAGTAGTTCAGGGCTAGGGCAGGCAGGGAGCCTGCCTTAGCCCTGCTGCATCACTGACCAGGAGCTGCTTCAGATAAGCACCTTTGGGCCAGAGCCCATACTCCAAGCCCCCTGCCTTAGAGCAAAACCCCCTCCTGCACCCTAACTCCCTCACAAATCCTGCACTCCCACTCCGAACTCCCTACCCCAGATTGGAACTCTCTCCCTCCACCCAACTCCCTCCCAAACCCGACATCCCTACCCCAAACACTTTGTCCCCAGTTTGGAGCCCACTCTTGCATCCCTTCTCTGAGCCTCTGTACCCTTCTGCAGGGGTGGAGCCCTGAGCAAGGGAAGCCCCGAGCCTCGGCACCGCCTACCCACTTCCGCTGCAGGACTGTGTGTAGCCTGCAAATTATTTTTGTATTGTGGGTCAGCAGCCCCTGATAGGAAAAAGGTTCCCCAGCCAGGCCTAAATTGATGGGTTATGGTGCTGATTCATTGAATGAAGGGGTATGACCAGATTCTCCACTAAGAAGCAGCTCCACTTTTCTTCCCCTTATGCTCAGGAGCAGGTTGACATTCTGGCTGTCACTTCCAGCTGCTGAA